AACGTTCTAATCATTCGACTCATTCAGATCCATTCTTGATTATTGTTTCATTGTTTTATTTTCATCATCTACCTGTTGCAAAGATCTAATCGATCAAAGAGTTATTATATCTCATCAGATCCAAAACACAAACCGAACTCTCGATAACCTAATCTACATTATCTACATCCAAAGGGGTCTAAATCTCTCTTTCCACAAGGCCCAAAGCCTTATGATAACTGATCTTCAGGTCACGGCCCCAAATTATGAAACGATTGGAAAAAGGGAGTTACATGAAGTATTGTAAATATTAAACATGGTGGTTAGGAACAAAAGGAATCAAAAACTGCAATTATCTCTTATGTACTTCAACTTATGGGCAATTTGGAAACAAAAGAAATGTTATCATTTTTACAATTGAAAGGCGAGCAATTATGATGATGGAGGATGATGTATGTCTGAAGACATTTAATTAGATTACGAATAGGTCTAATTTTTGCAAGATTGACTGGTCCATCTGGTGTATGTCTCCCATTTCAAATTTATGGTAATGTGGCTTAACTTGGAGTTTATATCTCGTTCTTGGGGCTTTTGGGGTTTGCTTGGGGTTTACTTGGAATTTTTGGAGTTATTTCGTCTCGCAGCAGGTTTATGATTGGTGTGTGCCTTTTGTTTATTTGGGTAGGCATTTCGTCTCACAATAACATTGTTCTTTCAGGTTTGATAAGCTTTTGGAATTGAATCAAAGGAGAGATAATAGCTCTATAGATATGCTTTTTGGAGTTGTTGCTGCAACGGATGGTCATTCACCCAACTGCCATCAGCTAATTTGGTTTGGGGGGAGACAGAAGGTGAGGGAAGACATGAAAAAGTGTAGTAGCAGGTTGATTCCATCATTTGTTTCTCAATTCATAATTTTTAGTGTTTTTTAATCTTACTGATTTTGTTCTTTGTGCTTAAGTTTTGAAGACCAGCTGCTCGACAAGATTTCTCAACGAAAAATCCGGTCAAGAGTGTGTTTCTACTTGGAAAACTGTATCATCAATCTCTTCTTCTTGGATTAAGCTTATATTTCTTACAATATGGTAAATACATTAGCACTTTTGTAGGATAACCCAATCATGTATTTGCTTCCTTTAGGCAAACGGTCGGTGATATGGTGGGGGTTCATTTTGAAATCAGGTTGTTCAAGGCCAATGGCCGACAAATATTTGGAGGTTAGTTATGACTTTTTGCTCACTAATTAATCTTTATTCTTTTCTTTTAACAGTTACATTTGAGTAAGAAGTATTTTATTTATATGCGTTACCACTTACTATAACAATTTAACAAAATAAAATGAGAACATCAATTGTCTAAACCTATACTAATTGTTAGTGTATTGTTTTTAATATATATATTTTCATATCTAAAAAAAACATAACTCAAATATGTACACTTCACCTGGCCGACGTAGATGGGTCCAACCTTGGTTTTATTATTCCTTTTTTTTTAATTTAATTGTTGTTATTAGTCATCATCGATTCCTTTGGCACCGAAATCAAGCGTTTCGGTGAGTATGTTGCCATGCTTTCACTAAATATCCATTCAAAGATATTTTTATTTGTAATACCATGTGGTGGTGTACTGACCTGACGGTCGTAAAATTGAAAGATATCCCATGAAAATTAAAATGAAAATCCTTATCATAATGGATTTTTTTATTTGAAATACAGTTTTTATGCTCAAGTTAGCTGCATTTAGTGATTAATTTCTCATTCTTTTTAGTTGAATCAATCTCTTTTTCTTTTTCTTTTTATTACAGGTATTCATCCATTTTCTTCAATTCTTCATTTGAGCAGCAAACTTTCTATTACTGTCACAAACAATTAGCACACCTTCTGTAAGTGAATTACATTCATTCTTCTTTAATAAATCAGTACATTCTTTATCTATATATTTATCTCCCATAGGCATTTATATCATATATAAATTTTTCAGGGATCTGGTGTATAGAGAGCTAATACAATTGAACCTAAGCTAATAGAGCTGAACATATGCCTGGTAGACCGACCAAGTGGCTATCTTCTATTTATCATGGTGGTGTGTAGGACAATCAGATTTGAAATTTTATTTTAGGATTATCTCACCAATCAAGATATATACTTTACAAATGGCTTGACTTTCTTTTTATTTCTAATCATCATAATCCCATCTCAAAACATGACTTTTTTAAAAAATTTTGATTTTCTAAAACTATATGCAAGCATAAAGTTCACTAGAACAAATGGATTGGATTGAAAAAAATAAATGGAGTAATAGTTTCACTCTTAAGTTCCCAATCATCTGAGATGGTAGGTTTCAAAAGGGTATATGTTAAATATTAGGAAATAGCAATGTACTTCACTCTTTTTACCAATATAGGAAACATACTTTATTTACTTACCCATAATAGCAACCAACCTACAACCTACATTTTGATATTGAATGTCATAACTAATCTCAAGGGGTCGAAGCCAATTGTACAACAAAATCTTGGAAAGTTATCCACAAAACATACTTCATATTTCCTTAATTGCACTTAAAAGTTACGGCCATAATAATTCTTGATAAACTTCATAAAACATTTTCTCGGATTTATATTGAGTAATCACATATATATATTTTTTATTAGTATAAATTGCAGGTAAAAAGGTTGTACTTTAATTTTGATCAATTTGTATTTTAGGGATTTTATGTTGTTTTGATTGATTTTTTAAGTGGATTACAGTCTCTATATTTACCTCCAGATTACTATATAATCTTTTCTATCGATAACAAGTATGAAGTGGTCAAAATGATCGAAACTGTCCAAATCCATCCCCGCAAAGTAGGGTTCCTTATCTAGTTCTTAAAAAGAAGTTTACAAATTATTTCATTTAGTGAATTTGAGTCCAAGTAAAAGTAAGATTTTATTTTTATTATTATTTATCATATAATATTTAAAGAGATAACATATTTCTTGCTTAGCTTGAAATTAATGGTGTCATGGTTGCCATTTATTCTGTCTCTTATATCAACACCACCTAAACGTGATCTTATTTTTACAATATTTTTATTATTTCTTTTCATAGGCAAAGATCCGTCACTATGACATGTCACATTTATTTTTTTAATTTATTTATACAACTTAATTTAATAAAAACTTAGAATTTTATTAGATAAAATAAAAAATATTTAGTAAGAAATTATAAACATAAAAACTTAAAAATACAAAAAAATAATAATAATTAAAATGTTGGTGGACAACTTCACATTCTCTTTTTATGTATTTTCGTGATTTCGGATGCGAACTTACGACTTCATCATGGCTTAAAATATTGAACGTTGTCTTCAACACTTTAACAACTTCATCATCATTCCTTTATGTCCATATGAAGATGACATGTTCTCATTCAAGCAAAAGAGAAAAAAAATTCTAATTTAGTTATGTTTTGCAATGACAATTAATAAAACTCATTACAAGCAATTCTAAATGTAGGTTTATCTTCCAAAATCAGTTTTCTTGCATGTTCAACTTTTTCTGGCCTTATCCAAAGGGAAAAGGCAATACAAAAGTATAAAGAAGTGATGCACGATTACTAATTTACAATCAATCATTTCTTCGTACACATTTGTAAACAATCCTAACTCCTTTTTTCCTTATTGATTTCGTATTTGTTAGCATGACTTTTATTGATAAATATTTTGATTTAGTAAACTATTTGCGTAAAAGAACTAATCGTTTCTAGAAACTAATTTTTAAAAAAACTATTCGCACCCGTCACTTGGCCAGAACGTTAATATATATATATATATATATATATATATATATATATATATATATATATATATATATATATATATATATATATATATATATTAACGGTCTGGCGAAGTGAGGGGAATTACATTTAGTTTGTTTTTGTGCTTATGAACAAACTACTTCATTACCTATTCATTTCCTAGTAACAAACGTTTTCAAATTTACCAAAGAGTTAGAATTATGTTTTGGATGAGGAAAGGATAAAAATAATATATATATATATATATATATATATATATATATATATATATATATATATATATATATATATATATATATATATATATATATATATATATATATATATATATATATAGGGTTAGGTTTATGTGAGACGGCCTAATTTTGTGAGACTATGAGATGCATCTTTTTATTTTTTTTATTTTTATTTTTATTTTTTTTAATTTTTTTTAGTTAATTCAAGTTCCAAAATTAATATTTAAGAAAATAATTTTTTGATGTTCCCATTTATTTTGCATTTTAAAATTATTTTTAGAATATGTACAGTGTAATATTCTATTTAGAATATTTCACGTATTTTTCAAAAAAAAAAAGATTTTTTTTTTATTTTTTTTAGTTAATTCAAGTTTCGAAAATAATATTTAAAAAAAGAATTTTTAGATTTTTCCATTTTATTTTGCATTTTAAAATTATTTTTTAGAATATGTCAGTGTAATATTCTATTTAGAATATTTCACGTATTTTTCAAAAAAAAAACGGAAATTTTATTTATTTATTTATTTTTGTTTTATTTTTTTTTTAGTTAATTCAATTTCCGAAAATAATATTTAAAAAAAAAATTTTTGGATTTTAAAATTATTTTTAGATTTGGTTTCACAAAATTAGAATAGTCTCAAATTAACATAAACCTATATATATATATATATATATATATATATATATATATATATATATATATATATATATATATATATGAATTTTTTTCGATTCGTGGATGCTAAGATACTCTATTGGGAAAAAAAACGGAAGCAAAATATATATATATATATATATATATATATATATATATATATATATATATATATATATATATATATATATATATATTTGAATTCACCATCCTCTTTCCATGGTTTTTCCAATCCATTTTCGTCACCATTTTATAATCACTTTTTGAGGTTACTTCTATGCTCCGTACTCTATTTAAATACAGGATTGTTAATAATCAAGGCCACCCATGCATGAGAACATGAAAAAGTCACAACTAAGCTCCTGTGTCTTCCTCTTGGTTCTAACTCTCTCCTTTTCTGTTTCTTGGGAAACCTTTCATTCCCTTGTTGATGTAAAACCAGGTTCTGAAGATCTCATGATAAGTTGCATACAATTCAATTCCAACAATGTCACTTCCATCTCTCAACTCATTTTCACTCCTGTCAATACTTCTTTCTTACCCATTTGGCAAGTCGCAGTACAAAACACAAGGTTCATTAAACCCTCAACTCCTAAACCATCAGTCATCGTGACACCAGTGGAAGAAACCCTTATCCAAACAGCTCTATATTGCACCAAGAAACATGGCTACGAGATCAGAATCAGAAGCGGGGGCCACGACTTCGAGGGCCTCTCGTACACTGCTGATGTTCCCTGTTAGAATTAATAGTTAATTGTTAGTTAATTCGGTTTAATAAAATCATGTGATTCTCACGTGATGTTAGTTAGAAGTTTGTTAGAGGGTTAATCAGTTGTTTCTCTTGTATATAGTTTCAATTTAGCTTCATTTGTAAGTAACTATTCAATAATGAAGAATCTATATCCCCTCTTCAACTTTTCTCTGGTTTCACCATTGTCAACATGGTATCAGAGCTTTGTGCTCGAAGATTCATTCAATTTTTGATTCCGCACTTGATTTTCTTCTTCAATCATTTCAATCAAATTGAATCATCATTTCAATTTTAAGATTTTGTTCTTTCGCTACTGTTTTTTTTTCCCTGTAATTTCAGTTTCATCATCATAGCGATGTCTTCTTCATCTAATCCAGTTACTCCTCAAAATTCAACTCAATTTCCTAATACATCTGATCCAATGTATCTACATCCATCAGATCATCCTGGTATGCTACTTGTTTCTAACAAATTTGATGGATCGAATTTCAATTCATGGAAGAAAGGCATGATGATTGCATTATCAGCTAAGAACAAGATTGGCTTCGTCAATGGTAAAGTACTCAAACCAGCTTCAAATCACAATTCTTTCGATAATTGGCAAAGATGCAATGATATGGTAACTTCTTGGATACTTAATGTCTTATCAAATGATATTGCCGAATCTGTTCTCTATTCATCTTCTGCCAAAGCAATTTGGGATGATTTAGATGACAGATTTGGACAATCAAATGGAGCAAAGTTATATCATCTCCAAAAGGAGATTTCTGATTTGAATCAAGGATCTGATGACCTAGCTACTTATTTCACCAAGTTAAAGAAACAATGGGATGAACTAAATGCTCTATCTGTTATTCCTGACTGTACTTGTGGAGCAGCACACAAAATTCAGGAAGAACAACAGAATCAAAGGTTGATGAAGTTTCTTATGGGACTTAACAGTGATTATAGTCATGTAAGAGGAAGTATTCTCTTAATGAAACCTCTCCCATCTGTCACTCAAGCATATGCTCTTTTGATTCAAGACGAGAAACAAAGAGAAGTCCATTCTTCTACTTTTCAGTTTATGTCTGATTCAGCCTCCATGAATGTTAAGTCTAGTGGAGGGCATTTTCGGAATAATCAAGAAATCAATCAACTCAAGGGCAATTATGAAGCAAAGAAGAACATTACTTGTAATTTTTGCAAGAAACCTGGCCATTCTGCCAACAAATGCTACAGGTTAATTGGCTTTCCTAAAGATTTCAAGTTTACAAAGGGGATAAGAACTGTTGATGCAAATGCCTCTAGTTTTCAATTAACAAATGGTGAAGGGACAACTCAACAAGCCAATCATGTTCATTCTACAAACATTCAATCACTACCACAACTTTCAAATGAACAAATTCAACAATATCATCAGTTCTTTTCGATGTTTAACAATTTTAACACAAAACAAGATGGAAATGAAAGTACACAGGCTCAGAATTCTCAAAACTCGCAGAACCAACCATCTTCGGGTCATTCTAATGCAAATTTTGCTGGTAATGTTTTCTTGTCTAAACATAATTCCATAAGTTGTCATTGCTTGGTTACTACTGCAACTACTTGGATCATTGATTCTGGAGCCAGTGACCATATGTGTCACAACAAATCACTCTTATTCCAAATTCAAACTCTTAAAATCCCATATCACATCACCTTACCAAATGGACAACAAATAAGTGCTTATGAGATTGGTAGTACTTATTTGGCTGATGATGTTGTACTCCATAATGTTCTGTATGTTCCTCACTTCAAATTTAATTTGTTATCCATTAGCAAATTATGTCATCAGTTAAGGTCTCTTTTCATTTTTTCAGACAAATTTTGCTTTTTAATGCAGGGCCTTTCTCAGAAGAGGCCTCTGGTTCTTGGTAGACACCAAGCAGGTTTATACTTTCTGCATTCCAATCAAAACAACAACAATGGAATTGCTCTTTCTGTGACTTTACATGCTCCTTCAGATCCTGTTGTCATTTTTTCAAATTCAGTTTGTATGTCTGATGACAATTTGTTTTCTTTGTGGCATAATAGACTTGGCCATCTTCCTATGTACAAGTTGAAAACTCTTTCTTTTCTTAGTAATAAAAATGCCACATTCAATCATGCTTGTGAAATTTGTTCTAAAGCAAGACAACACAAACTTCCATTTGGTCATAGTGTTATTAAGACAAGTTCTTCTTTTGATCTAATTCATATTGATACATGGGGACCATACAATACAAGAACTTATAATGGCAAATCTTATTTCTTGACAATTGTTGATGATTTTAGTCGAAGTACATGGACTCATTTGCTAAGTACCAAAGGAAATTCTTTCAATGTTCTCAAAGGTTTTATTGAAATGGTAAAAACCCAATTTGGGAAAACAGTGAGAATTATAAGATCTGATAATGCTCTAGAGTTGGGGTCTAGTAATGAGGCAATCACATTTTTTCAAGCAAATGGGATCATTCACCAAACAAGTTGTGCATATAACCCTCAACAAAATGGGGTAGTTGAGAGGAAACATAAACACCTTTTGGAAACTTCTAGAGCTTTACTGTATCAATCAAAGTTGCCTCTAAAATTTTGGGGTGATTGTGTCCTCACTGCAACTTATTTGATCAACAGATTTCCTTCTCAAATTCTAAAAGGAAAAACTCCATACTTTATGTTGTATGGTCATCAACCTTCGTATTCAAATCTCAAATCTTTTGGATGTTTGTGTTATGTGAGTACATTACAACATAAACGAGACAAATTCCAACCAAGGGCAGCTCCCTGCATATTTGTTGGATACCCTTTTGGGCAAAAAGGGTACAAAGTTTACAATATGGACACCAAACAAATAATTGTTTCCAGAGATATTATTTTTCATGAAAGCATTTTCCCTTACAAATCAACCCCTAATGATCCTTTATTCCCATCTACAGATTTGTACTATACAGATTATAATGATGACCCAATTTCATTATTACCTACCTCTGGTATTTCACAAGATAATACTACACCTTCTTTGATATCAGTTCAACCTAATTTAATTCCCCAACAAGCACCTATCAGACATACAACCAGAATTTCAAGACCTCCTTCTCATTTAAAAGAATACATTTGCTCCAATGCCACATGTCACAATCTCGCATCTTGTTGTTCCTTATTCACATGCACCCACAATGTTACCAATGCTTCTTCACCGGTTCATGTTTGTTTCTCAACTTTATCATCCCAAAGCAAACAATTACTCAATAATATAACGTGTCTTTCTGAGCCTTCTAGTTTTGAAGAAGCAGTTTTAATTCCAGAATGGCAAGAAGCCATGAATAAAGAATTTGAGGCACTAGAAGCAAATAATACTTGGGTTATTGTTGATCTTCCAAAGGGTAAAAAGCCCATAAGTTGTAAGTGGGTATACAAGATCAAATATAAGGCAAATGGCGATGTTGAAAGATGTAAAGGGAGGCTGGTTGTCAAAGGTTTCACTCAAAAAGCTGGCATAGATTACACTGAAACCTTCTCACCTGTTGTCAAAATGACAACTATTAGAGCTCTTATTGCAACTGCAGTCAAGAAAGGATGGAATATGCATCAATTAGATGTTAATAATGCTTTTTTGCATGGTGACTTGCATGAAGAAATATACATGAAGCCACCACCTGGTTTGAAGGGATGCAAACCAAATCAAGTATGTAAACTACAAAAATCACTATATGGGCTCAAACAAGCTTCAAGGCAATGGTATGCTAAACTTTCTTCAGCGTTAAAAGAAATGGGATATCAAAATTTAAAGAATGATTATTCTCTTTTTCACAAGAATATGGGATCCTATGTAACATTTGTAGCAGTCTATGTCGATGACATAATGGTTACTGGAAATAATGAAGAAGAAATCACAAAATTGAAGACATTTCTTGATAATACTTTCAAAATTAAAGACCTTGGATTCTTGAATTTTTTTTTAGGAATTGAAGTTTTGTATAATTCATCAGGTGTCATTCTCACTCAAAGAAAGTTTTCCACAGAACTGCTAAAAGAATTTGACTGCACTGGTCATGCTTCTTGTCCATTACCTACAAATTTGAAGCTTTTGCAAGGTCAAGGTGATCATATGGATTCTCCAGAAGTCTATAGAAGATTAGTGGGAAAATTAAACTTTCTGGTACATATAAGACCAGACCTTGCATTTGCAGTTCAACTTCTCAGTCAATTCATGTCTGATCCCAGAATGCCTCACTATCATGCAGCTTTACATGTTCTAAAGTATCTTAACAATGATCCAAATCAAGGGTTACTAATGAATAATGGAGACGATTTTACCCTCAATGCTTATTGCGATTCAGATTGGGCTTCATGTCCCCAAACCAGAAGAAGTGTGAGCGGATTCATTATCTTATTGGGTAATTGTCCAATTGCCTGGAAATCTAAGAAACAGGTGACTGTTTCATTGTCATCAGCAGAGGCAGAATATAGAAGCATGCGTCGAGTTACTGCTGAACTTGCATGGCTCACTCGCCTTCTTTATGAAATAACTGTTCCGAATTTGACACCTGTACCTATTCATTGTGACAGCCAAGCAGCCATCCACATAGCTAAAAATCCTATCTTCCACGAAAGAACCAAACACGTAGAGATTGATTGTCACTTTGTCAGAGACAAACTACAAGATGGCTTGATTTCGTTACAACATGTTCCAACACATTCTCAACTTGCAGATTTTTTTACTAAAAATCTACCTACAAAGCAACATAAATTTCTTTTGAACAAGTTGGGCGTTATTCACCCTCCAACTTGAGGGGGGGTGTTAGAATTAATAGTTAATTGTTAGTTAATTCTGTTTAATAAAATCATGTGATTCTCACGTGATGTTAGTTAGAAGTTTGTTAGAGGGTTAATCAGTTGTTTCTCTTGTATATAGTTTCAATTTAGCTTCATTTGTAAGTAACTATTCAATAATGAAGAATCAATTTTCCCTCTTCAACTTTTCTCTGGTTTCACCATTGTCAACATTCCCTTTGTTATGATTGATTTCACCAACATGAGGTCTATAGAAGTTGACGTACCAAACAGGCTTGCACGGGTCCAGGCAGGCGCCGTGGTTGGTGATCTCTATTACAGTATTTCTCAAAAGACCGACACCTTGTATTTTCCGGCAGGTGTTTGTCCGACGGTGGGTTTTGGCGGGTACATAGGCGGTGGTGGCTATGGAAACCTAATGAGAAAACATGGTACTGCTGCTGATAATGTTTTGGATGTTCGTTTCATGGATGTCAATGGAAATATTCTTAATAGGAAGTCAATGGGTGAAGATTTGTTTTGGGCAATTCGAGGTGGTGGCGCTTCAAGTTTGGAATAGTTCTTGCATGGAAGCTGCAGTTGGTTCCAGTTCCAGAAAGAGTAACTGTCTTTTTACTGAATAAGACTTTGGAAGAAGGCGCAACTGAAATTTTCCATAAATACCAACACGTTGCACCTTCTATTGATAGAAATTTGCACATAAGAACTCAGGTTTTTGGCGAATATATCCGCAACACCACCAAGAAAACTATACGAATTATGTTTGAAGGAATTTATCAGGGAACAACCGACACATTGCTTCCATTGTTGGACCAAAATTTTCCTGAGCTCGGTGTTATAGGAGAGATTTGTCAAGAAGTAAAAACCGTTCAGTCAACCCTTTTGTTTTGGGGGTTGCCAAGCTCTACATCAACAGGGATTCTCACAAACAGATCTGCCATAGCCAAGCTGGACAACAAAAGTAAATCAGACTATGTTAGGACACCGATCCCCATAAGCGGACTCAAAAAGATATGGAGGAAGCTTTTCGAAAATGATGAATCAGCCCTTCTGATGATCAATCCTCTTGGTGGAAGAATGGCTGATTACTCAGAGACAGCAATTCCGTATCCTCATAGAGCTGGGGTGTTGTACCAGGTGCTCAAGACTGTTAATTTTTTTGATCAATCTTCAGACACAAGCCCTATATCTCTCAGTCGGATAGCTTGGCTGGAAAGCTTGGAGAAGTTATTAGAGCCTTATGTGTCAAATAACCCGAGGGAGGCTTATGCTAATTATATGGATCTTGATTTGGGTGTTGGAAGTGATAGTTATGAAGAAGCTAGTGTTTGGGGCGAGAGATACTGGAAAAAGAATAATATCAAGAAGTTGATTCGAATCAAGGCCAAAGTTGATCCCAAGAGTTTCTTTAGGCACCCACAAAGTATACCAGTTTTCTAATAAAAACATTGCGACATGTGAAGCTCCAAGATAGGTTAAAGAATGATCTGAAAACAGTGTACGGTTTACTTCGTTTGATTTTTCTATTTCTTAGAAAACTAGCAATAAATCTATTTTATGTTCGAACTTTTCTATAAATGAATATAAGAGCATCTCCATGTTAAAGTTTGTTCAAAAGTCAAAATGATTGTATTTTGTATATTTAATTGTATTTTGTATATGTGAAATTACAAAGACACTGTCGGTTGTTATATGATAAACAAACAAGATTACATATATGTTATAGAAATTTACATAGGACTTTGCCATATAGGATCTGGTTTTTGAAAAATATTGGAATGTATCATGAAAAAATCGGGTGACTTGTATGACTCGGTTTAATATAAGGAACCGTGCTAAGATGAAACTAAAAGAACCTAGTTTCTATTGCTACAACCATATCTTTTAGCCATACAAATATATTAGGGTTGAAACCAAGCCTAGTCGAGCCCGATCATGGCTAGGCTCGGCTTGGGTTCGTTAAAGTTACGAGGGACTCAAGCTCGAGCTCGGCTCGATTCGACTTTATTTCACTGAACTCGGCTCGACATCGTGAAGAATTGTATAGACTCAGCTTGGGATCAAGATCGGCTCATTTTTAGTATGATAAGCCTAAATAAGCTTACGCTTGGTTCAAGCTCGTTTACTAATACCCTACATCCCTAACTCCTTAAATATATTTTTAAGATAAAAAAATAATAATGCATATTATATGTCACTACAAGAAAAATAGACATTAGCGGCGACATGACCCTTTAGTGGTGACATATCAATTTGTTGCCATTAAAAGTACATGTCGCCGCTAAAGTGTCATTACACGGATCCTCATTTTCACGTTCTGGTAAACTAGATCCGTCTGATTGTGTTTCTAATCCAACAGTTAGAGTACTCGTGGAACGCACAAAACTAATATCGGTGACACAAGTCGTCGCTAAAGACCTAACCCTATCGTCGCTAAATGTCGAATAAATGACGCAACAATAATTCCCTCCTAAGTATCGCTGCTATTGAAAGAAATCGCCACTAAAGCCCTTATCATCGCCGGTAAAGGTGTCACCGCTAAAGGTCGAAGAAGTTAACCAAAAAAATTGATGCTCTTTTCCTTTTCTGCTTTTGTTTGCTTCCATCTATTGTTGTGTTTTTTTCTTTCCATCTTCTACGTCGATTCGCAAGCATCACCGTCGCACAAAGTCGAAATTAAGGAATTCATGCCACAGAGAAGAAGATGTCGGCGGGCAAAGTAGAGATAGACGAGTAAGGACGAATTTCCAGAGACTAATCTCCGGCGACAATAGATATTTCCAGCTTAGTTTCATTTCCTTTTTCTCTTGTAATACAACCATATCTTTTAGCCATACAAATATATTAGGGTTGAAACCAAGCCTAGTCGAGCCCGATCATGGCTAGGCTAGGCTTGGGTTCGTTAAAGTTACGAGGGGCTCAAGCTCGAGCTCGGCTCGATTCAACTTTATTTCATTGAACTCGGCTCGACATCGTGAAGAATTGTATAGGCTCAGCTCAAGATCGGCTCATTTTTAGTATGATAAGCCTAAATAAACTTGGTTCAATCTCGTTTACTAATACCCTACATCCCTAACTCCTTAAATATATTTTTAAGATAAAAAAATAATAATGCATATTATATGTCACTACAAGAAAAATAGACATTAGCGGTGACATGACCCTTTAGTGGTGACATATCAATTTGTTGCCGTTAAAAGTACATGTCGCCGCTATTGATGTCGCCGCTAAAGTGTCATTACACGGATCCTCATTTTCACGTTCTGGTAAACTAGATCCATCTGATTGTGTTTCTAATCCAACAGTTAGAGTACTCGTGGAACGCACAAAACTAATATCGGTGACACAAGTCGTCGCTAAAGACCTAACCCTATCGTCGCTAAATGTCGAATAAATGACGCAACAATAATTCCCTCCTAAGTATCGCTGCTATTGAAAGAAATCGCCACTAAAGCCCTTATCATCGCCGGTAATGGTGTCACCGCTAAAGGTCGAAGAAGTTAACCAAAAAAATTGATGCTCTTTTCCTTTTCTGCTTTTGTTTGCTTCCATCTATTGTTGCGCTTTTTTCTTTCCATCTTCTACGTCGATTCGCAAGCATCACCGTCGCACAAAGTCGAAATTAAGGAATTCATGCCACAGAGAAGAAGATGTCGGCGGGCAAAGTAGAGATAGACCAGTAAGGACGAATTTCCAGCGACTGAGACTAATCTCCGGCGACAATAGATATTTCCAGCTTAGTTTCATTTCCTTTTTCTCTTGTAACATCGATTTTTAGCTTATGTTAGTGATTAATTGCAAAAAATTGTCAATTTTAGTTTTTTATTGAGTTTCCCGGCCACCACCGGCGACTATCACCACCACTACACCATTTCTTTGATTTCCGCCACCACAAGTTCTATTTACTTCTATTATTGTCAAATTCGAGTTTAATTGCAAAATATGTATAGTTGTATAAATTATGTGAAAATTTTCATATGTGTGTATATTTGATATATATATATATATATATATATATATATATATATATATATATATATATATGTGAATCTATGTAAGTTTGTTGTATATATGTCAATGTATGTGTGTTTGGTGTATATGTGGTATATGAATGTGAAATATATGTATTTGGTATAAGTAAGATGTTATTATAATATATATACATATATATATATATATATATATGTGTGTGTGTGGATGCGTGTGTGTGTGCGTGTGTATATGTGTGTGTGAAAGTATGTGTATTTGGTATAAGTAGGATGTAACAACCCGTTATTTCAAGTCAGTAAAAATCGAGTCATGTAACCTCTTTGAGAAAAGAATTAGAATATCATCGAAAAATGAAGTATTCAAAAACTCTATTTGGAGTACACTATGTGGTAGTTATCGTCTTAAGGTTTCCAAACATATAAATAACACAAAAATCCGAGTTATAACGAAGAAGTTGTGATCATTCTAAGTTTTCCGACAAAAACCGGCAATACGAAGTTGCGTAAAAACGCAAAGTTTCAATAAAACACTTTCCGACCTTAGGTGTCTAAATGAAAGTCGTAGATATCGTTAAACTACAAACATGCACAAAAAGAACGCTCAAATCGGACATCGTATGAATAAGTTATGAATTTTTAAAGAAATTCCTTAACCACGTCATTTTAATAAATAAATAATAAAAATAATTCCGGAATTTGCCAACGGAATCTAAATGAAAGTTGTAGATCGTAGTCTCACCTTCGCGAGGATATAAAGAACGTCAAAAACGGAGTTCGTATGAAGGAGATATGAATTTTCGAAGTTTGATAAATAATTTATATATAATTTTTATTAAAACTTCGGTATTATCAGAAGGGGAGTCAGCGTCCTCATCCGAGGTACGCGATGCGTACCCCTGTACGCCCCGCGTACCCGAGGAACTTGGCCTCAAACCATCCACATCGCCCTATGCGAGGCACCCGACCCGCCCGTCCGACCCGCCGTGCCATCCGACCCGACAGCCTGCGCGGTCCCATCCGAGGCCGAGGCAGTCGAGGCTTAGGCCACGCATGACGTACGCGTACGCGCTGCGTATGAGCGTACGCCCCGCGTACGAGGCCTCTCAGGCCCCCCTATAAATAGCATGCGAGGGTTCCCGGGAAAATGGCCCATTCTCTCTCCTTTTGCTTGCGTTTTACCTTGTTTTCCGTGCTCGCACTACCCCGAAGCCCTGGTCATTTTGTGCAAGTCCCGAATGTCGATTTTTCTCCCGAGGAATCCCGAGATTTCCGAGAAAAATCCATTTCCCGAGACGAAACTCTGTCCGGTTTTCCATCTTGCTATCTTCAAGCTTTCAAGTGAGTTCATACCCCTTTCAAACACACTTTAAATACATTTTCAAATGCTTTTATACTCTTTTAGGGGGGAATACAAGTAAACATACGGTTATTATCGTGTATTTTATAAAGTTTCACTTAGCTTGTTTTACCGAATAAATCACTTGGAACTCATTACTATTATGGAAAACTCTTGTCATACTTTGTGTGCGTTAGACTTATACAAAGTATATAACGATTTCAAGGTACCTTTCATTGCTAAGTCGTTTTATACATTCTAAAAACTTATGATTTTGATTTGTCAAACATTGTGAAAAAGGATAAACTTTGCATAGAAAACTATCACTTTAATACGGGCTTAATTGAATCCATGAGACGTGTATATCTTCAAACGTTACTTTTCTTTATTAGAAAGTAATGCTGCAAGTCCTGTCTATAACCAGAGTCTCCCGTTCGGAGAACGTGTCAAATTTGTATAGATCTATACGGGAAGTCATGATCCCGTGCCCTGACTTGTTAGCTACAGTCCATCCTCTTTTGGGGTGACAGTTGTCATAACGCTGCGACGCCTGAAAGAACGTCGTTACAGGCATATTATGTTTAGTATGGTTATAAAACTCATCGGATATACAATTATTATGGTATTATGCTTTATGAACGAGTAGCTACTAAAACTATTCTTCATCTAACAAATGCGATCTTCGTATAGTTTTATTATATGAAACTATGACACAACTTTTGAGAACGTCGGTTTCTTGCGATTTTCGGTCTTAGAGACTGCCATTTATGTTAGGAAAATAAGGGTTTTCCTGCATACAAACCAAACAACTAATAGGAAAATAAGGGATTTTCTTGGTGCAATTATTTACAAACTTATAAACACGAACATTTATATGCATTTCATGCTTTTATAAGAAAATAAGGGTTTTTCTTGGAAAACACAACAACTCGTATTTCAACCATTAGGGAAAATATGGGATTTTCTGGATCTAATACATTCACTTTCAACACAACAAATCACAACTCTTTACATTTGAAATGCTGCGTTTTCTGGAAAATATACACCCATTTTGGAATGGCATCCAATTTTTCTAAACTACTTATGAACTCACCAACTTAATTGTTGACACTTTT